ACAGTCACACCTCAAGAGCACAGCGCTGCGTTAGGGGTACAGTCACACCTCAAGAGCACAGCGCTGCGTTAGGGGTACACTAGTAATCAATAGGAAAATAAAGCAGGTCCAAAGACAATAGTAGTGAAATAGCAGCACATTCAGACAGGGTGAGACAGGGAGAGTGGGAGTGAAATCTCACCTTAGCACCAGCACCTTCCCCAGAGAGCCCACAGCCAGGTCTGGAATGTTGTCTCCACTGAGGTCCATAGCGCCATGGAGAGACTGGCCCCAGTACTGCAGCCCCACTGACAGCTGGCTGGCTGCGATGCGCTGTGGGGGGAGACAGACACGGGCTCTGAAAGGCTGTACTGGAGAGCAGACCCTCCAGGTTCAGAGACAGTTTCTTCCCACAAGCTGTCAGGTTACTGAGCTTGTTCAAGTAGGCATCTGTGCAATGACAAAGAAGTTGATGTTGACAATGATGACAAGGACAGCGATGACAATGATGTTGATGTTGACAATGATGACAAAAATAACGATGACAATGATGTCGGTGTTAATGTTGACGATGTTGATGTTGACAATGCTGTTGATATTGATGATGATGTCGATGTTAATGATGACGATGTTGATGATGACAATGATGTCGATGTTTATGTTGACAATGATGTCAATGACAATGATGTTGATGATGTCAATGATGTCGATGACCATCATGTTGATGATGAAAGTGATGTTGATGCTAATGATGACAATGCTGACGATGATGTCAATGACAATGATGTTGTTGTGTTGAACACACAGTAGTTGTCTCACACCTAAAGCCGAAACGTTGAGTTTCTTTTCTTCTCTCCTCACCCTGGAGTGAACCTTCACTTGTTCCTGAGCAGGTTACTGAACTCTACGCCTGCCCCTGCCTCACACAGAGCTTTGGATTTCTCTTCTCACACACTTGTTGTTTGGTGTTAAAGCTGTGCCCTATTTCACTTGTCGCTGCTGCTGCTGCTGCTCTGTGTTTATGTTTTTGGACGTTTCCCTGTATCCCAGCGTTGTATGTGCCCACGGCCCATCGAGGGAGCTGAGCTGGGGAGGGTCTTGAGTTTCCCCTTCCAGCCTCGGCGCCTGAGCCGCGCCAGCAGGACACTTGCAGCTGTGTGCGCAAGCCCGCCCCCCCGACGAGGTGTCTCAGCGGAGAGACGAGCTCTGAAAACGACAGGCACTTGGACCACCCTCCTCCTCTGGTGGCGGGGCCCGTCAGACAGCAGGGATGAAGCTCTCGGAGATGAGATGGGCATCAACAGTGCGCATCGGGGCGACGATAAACAAACGGCCTGTCCCACAACAGGATCGATTCTCTGCAGGGCTAGGAGGGGCCCTGACACAAGTCCTCATTCAGAAGATCCAAGATCCATTCAGAAGACGTGGCAAAACACAGAACCAGAGGGCACCAGGGGCAACTGCAGGGAAGTGCATTTCATTCCTGACTGAGAAAGGGAGCACTTCTTTACACAGAGAGGGGTAGAGGTGTGGAACAAGCTGATACTCTGGCTTCTCTCAGGACACAGCTGGATGAGACACTCCAGTCAGGACAGGAGACACTACTGTACACAGAGAGGAGTGGGAGTGTGGAACAAGCTGAGACCCTGACTTCTCTCAGGACACAGCTGGA